GTGCATTACGTCTAAATTAACTCATAAAAATCTAATATAATTTTGTAAATTGCATAAACAATTATGAACAAAATAGCATCATGTATTTACGCATTGCTTAATCCAAAGAACCGAAGCGCCATTCACACAGATTGCATTTAAAAACATGAGACGGCGTGAAAAGGAATAAACCTCCTCAAATTCGTGACGTGTTTTCTAAACGTTTAAATTGTTTTAACTTTGCATGGCTTTCTATACATCTCTTGTGTGAGACACGAGTGCAGCAGTCGTATTTGTCCATCTAAAAAATGCACTGAATATGCGTTCTGTGTGAATGGCTTGGTTTCGGTTTTAACCTAATCAAGATCTTCTCCGCATTGAGCTTCTATATTTCTCTAATATTTTGAATGAATAACACAGCAGCGGCGCATCTCGTGGGCTAGACTAACAAAACATTAAAATGCAACAACGTCACTCACGTCACTCACCGCATCTCACGCGCCACTGATGACGCTCCCTGATACACACCTAACATTTACATATACATTTAATCATTTAGCAGATGCTTTTATCCAAAGCAACTTACAAATGAGAACAATAGAAGCAATCAGACCAAAGAGAGAACAACAGTATGCAAGTGCCATGACAAGTCTCAGTTAGTAACAGAAACTACAGTTTCTCACCTAACATTCAAATGCAAATTTTTATTTTAAATTAGACTAATATTCATTCTTTATTCACAATCTCCTCATCACAGGCAGGCACAGCACTCATTGTTTGTGTTTGTGTGTACTGTCTGCATCACTCATAGCACGTGCCTATATCGTGGGCTATATCGAACATTTTTTTCTATCGTTATGGAAGAAGGTGTACCGTCTATAAATATCGATACCGTTTTATCACCCAGGCCTAAGTGTAGTATGCCCAAATTTCATAAAACAGGCAAAATGATCTATTACTTTTGGCGAGATTTTGAATACATATACAAAAGATAGTTTACTGTCCCATAAAGCTACGGGATTGGATTCATAACTGGTGGTTAAACGATGCATGTTGTAGGTCACATGACAATAACAACATGCTGGATGTATTACTGTATGTCCGGATTACATTCAACAGTCGCAAAATAAATATTTATTCAAATTGGTTACCTACTCAGAAAGTATGTGATTTCTGACACAGCTAATGTTTCTTTTTTAGGTAGCTGTTTTGAGAGAGTACCATTATGTTGTATTATGTACATTATATTTCATTCCATGAGCTTTTTTATTTTTTTATGATTAAAATACATTAATCCTTATTGTGCCCCTACAAGAAAACTAACTTGCATATGTTATTTTTTTATATTATTTATACAGTAATATTTAATTATACATTAATCAATTTTACCTTTGAGAATATAGGGAAGGTTGTGTCAGATTTACACTACAAGAATCATTGTTTTCATCAGTTTTATGTTGTTTTCTAACACGAATATCTAAATGAAAAGCAAAACTCATAAGCTATTAAGAGTTGTTTTCAGAGTTGCCAGTTGTGCTACAGAAAAATTCTTGTTTTTAGCACAACCCTCACAATTTTTTGCTAGATTTGATCAAATTCAATTAATGGATATTGACAGTGGAATTAAGAATGTTCTGTAAACATAATTAAACACACAAAAAATCGTATTATTTTATGTTGTGTCACTTTTCAAGTAAGTGTGTCTTGTATTAAGGATTTTTAAATATTTGCAAAGTGTTTGCTCATAAATGTTGAATACTGTTCCTAAAGTGTTGAATTTGTGCCAGTTGTATCTTGGAGTTTGTCTAACCAGCATTGAACACACAGTGGATGGATTTGACATTATTCTGACAGCAGGAGAACGTCTTAATCAAATCTTTATCAGCATGTTCAGACAGTTATCATCACCAATTTGTTACACACTTCATCTCACAGTTTTCTTTTAATTATTTACAGTTTTCGCTCTCTGTCTGTCTCTTTAGCGCCTTCCCAGGTTAACGAGCTGCGAGCGGAGAAGGTTGAGCAGCGCAGTGTGACTCTGGTTTGGAGGGAACCCGCCGTGTATCCCAACAGCAGCCGCACTGAATACGAGATCAAATACTATGAGAAGGTACGGTTACATCCTCGGTCCTCTCCACTAAAGCACTGAAGCTGTTATTAATCTACATGTGTGTACAGCCACACTAAACAGCAGCTTCCCACAGGCCTGTAGCTCATTGATCATTCAGTCAGATCCAGTAGCTACTTTAAAACATGTAGCTGCCGGACATTGATGTCTCCTGCTAGGATTGAGGGAAAAAAAACTTCTCTCTTGCACAATAATACATTTCTTATGAACACTGTGTGCGTTCACATTCAAAATCATAAAGATTTTAGATCATAACAGATAACATGTAATGTAAATGACTTAAATTAGTGTTTGTTTGGTCAGTTTTTTTATCCGGGAAAGGGAAATCAGGGAAAATCAATGCAAACATGTCTGACTGTATAACAGCTGATCATTTTATCTTATGTTAACAAGATAAGTCTTGTTTTTTTTTTCATTTTTATTAATTTGCAAGTAAACCCTTAAAGCAAGTTTTTGCAGTGAGTTAACTTTTAATGGCTTATGTTTTGTTGTGCATATAAGCATGTTTCATTATTTTTATTTTTTTATTATATTACATTACATTATATATTTTTTTATGCAAATTAAATTTTTACCTGTGGCATAATTTCTGGCACAACCAATAGATTTTATTATTTATTTATTTTTTTTATTTTTGAAAGAATGAATACATTTCAAGGATGACAGTAAAGGCATTTGTAATATTAATATTGTTCTTTTGACCTTTCTATTGATCAAAGAATGCTTAAAATATTAAGCCGCATCACCACAAAAATATTAAGCAGCACAACTCTTTTCCTCATTGTTAATAATAAGAAATGTTTCTTGAGAGCCAAATCAGCACATTAGAATAATTTCTGAAGGATCGTGTTACACTGAAGACAAAATACTATTCCAGAAATGTTCATGAAATGTTTCAGAAATATCATCTCCATCACTGTCATTTACTTCCATAGACTTTCATAGTTATTTTATGGACATATTTCTGTGTTCCTTCAGGATCAGAAAGATCAGAGCTATTCCACGGTGAAGACGGCCGCCACCAGAATCAGCGTCAACAACCTGAAACCAGGCACCACCTATGTCTTCCTCATCCGCACCTGCTCCAGCCCAGCACTTTCGTCTCTTTCTTCCTCTCCTCTTTCTTCTTCCTCCTCCTCCTCCTCTTTGTCTCCATCTTCCCTGTCTGCTTCCTCTTCCTCTTCCAGCCCCGTGGCAGCTGTGTCGCCCCCTCCGCTCGACTACGGGGCATACAGCGCACCGCTGGAGCTGCAGACGCTTGGGGAATGTGAGTGTCTCTTTGTTTTAGAAGAAAGTGTATGTGAAAGGAGTGTGTGGTGCTGTTATTTTAGGAGCAATATGAGCAGACCCTCAAAAAAAATGTTGTAAACTTTTTTTTATTTTTTATTTCATGTTAGTACACAAAATATGTTGGCTTTACAGTGAAACAATGACTTTAAAGAGCAAATACTTGCTGTCATCATTAATTTAAGAGGACACATTCATATTGAATGAACGCTTTAGAAGGACTTTCACATGTGACCTCGTCAGGCTCCTTCATTGTAGCACACAAACAAGTATTTGAGCAGCTTTAGATTATGCAGAACAAAGCTGCCATGTCTGATGCCTGGTTTGCAAACCATTTGGACTGGATGAGTCTCATTCCAGATCCTGTCTGGTATCGCTCCACTGTGCTTTTGCTCCTAACAGCTTGGGGTTTTTTCTCAAATGTGAAGTGTTCCACTAGGTTCAGGTTCAAAATGGTTGATTAAATCGGATAGTAGAAAATTTTTCACTTCTCAGCCCTCAAAAAAACATTTTTAAGCCTTTTTTAACACTTAAAGATGGAGAATTTTTGTTTTTCCGAAAGGACCTCATGGTCAAATTATTTAAAATTATATTTAAAAATGATATTAATATATTATATGATATTAATGACATTATATTCACTATATTACCCTTCATTGCGACATCAAAGTTATGATTAGGACTGTCAGTCATACAGTATTTTATTGTGAATTAAAATTTTTAGTACTCATTTTTGTAGTTAGTGTACATTAACATATTCAGGAACGAAGACTGAATAATAAGCCTTTGTGATTGATATTTATAGCATAAAATTAAATTAAATATATATACAATGCCATTCAGGTGTTTAAGGTCAGTAAGATTTTTAAAGAATTTATTACTTTTATTTAGCAAGGATGCATTAAACATATTAAACATGACCGTAAAGATGCTTACATTGTTAGAAGAGATTTCTTTTTACTTTTCATCATCATGACAAAATGTGATATCACAGTTACCACAAAAATATTAAGCAGCACAACTAATTTCAACATTCATCGTAAAAAACATATATATATATTTTGACCAGCAAATCAGTATATTAGAATGATTTCTGAAGGATCATGTGACACTGAGTTATGGCTGCTATAAAATTCAGTTTTGCCATCACAGAAATATGTTGCATTGTAAAATAGATTCAAATAGAATAAAATCTATTTTAAATTGTAATAATAATTCCCAGTGTTAGTGTTTTTATTATATTTTTTATCAAATAAATGCCACCTTGGTGAGCATAAGTGACTAAAAAAACCTTACAGATCCTAAACTTTTGAATTGTACTGTAAACATAAATTATATAGCATATAAATTTAGAGTGCTCACATTCACAAAATGCAAACACAGAACTGAATAATTCAGTAATACTCTAAAACATCTTTCCTCACAATTTATAGACTTACAGTAATCTTGTGTGTGCATTCGCTGCTGTTCTGATGTCCTCCACTGGTGAGGCTGATACTTCACTTGTTGAGATTCAATGATAATTGAATTTCACAGAAAAAGGAGTGCAAATAAGTTTACCTTTGTTAAATGTCCCATCAGGGTTTAAATTCTAAATAAATGACTCATAAAAGGGGTTTTCTCCATTATTTACCAATAAACAGCTTACCAGGGGTCATCTTTCCATTTGAGAGCTAAAGTGTTTTTGCGTAACTGATAGTAGTTCCTCTGCGTCCATGGATGGAGTGGGACCATTTGGAGGAAAGTCATAACTTTTTTAACTCACACAAATGTATTCCCATTAGGATCCTATCAAAATAAATAAGGGAAGACTTCAAAGATCAATCTTCTTGTCAAGCTCCAGTGCTTTTAGAGCACTGATAATGGCTTGTGCCATCGTGAATACTAACCAAATCTTTTGTTTGTCTTTGTGTGTGTTTGTTGTGCAGTGGCCCTGGCCTCTAGTGAACAGAGTCCTGTGGTGATCATCGTGGTAGTTTCGGTGGCTGCTCTCATCATGTTACTGACTCTTGGAGTTGGATTGCTCATCTGGAGAAGGTATAACTGCTATTTCAAGGCGTTTTACAAAGACTAACTCATCAAATGCTTTCCGCAATCACCTCTACAGAACAAATTTGCAAGGTTATCAGTCATTATTTGGTGAAAATTATCCTTTGCATGCTCATATCTGGCCCGTCAAACATCATTGGTTCATGGCCGTCTCATGATCTTTTTGTTTTTGGATGAACTATCCCTTTAACTGAAATAGGATATGGTTGCACATTCAGTTTCTGCTCCCTAATGGCGACCTGACAGTTGCATCAGCAAAAGCCCTTTTCTACTTCCATGGTCTGCGAAATCATCCATTAGAATGAATCAAAACACATTTTTAGTCGAGTCCATCTCTCACATACACAGATGCGCAAACTCATCCGTCATCCCACAGGAGAGTGTGAAGCCTCGTTCCTCTTTCTGAGAGGCACAATGCCATTGTTAGCTTGTTTGACGGGCAGTGCAATCGCTCAATCCAATTTCACCATGATTGCGAGACGTGTACACATGTCGCGTGTGTGCTTGTAAAGGCTGCCTCTCCCAGCAGGGAGTGAATGTGGAGAAATATGAAGAAAGACATGCCTTCTGCTGCTGTATTGTTATTTAGACAGATCTCTCTCTTTCACTGATCACATAGACAACAAAACCGTCCCACGTGCACAGAAGTGCTCCCGCGACGCACGAGTGCATGTATGCAATACATGAGGAAAATCACCACTCATGTGTTTTCACAAGGTCATCAAGTTCTTCCACAGTGGGACATAAAAGAACCGTACAGTTGTCGCTGTGGTGCAGTGGTTACTGTACATGTTGTGATGCTCATGCGGATGGTGCAGGTTTGAGACTTGCTCAAATAAATTGCATGAAGAATATGACGCAGGAGAAGAAAGTTCATCATTATTCCACAATAACAAAAATTAAACACAAATGTCATTTTTGCTGATTAGTATGGTTGAATTAGATCATCGAAGGTCAGTAGCAAAGACATTGGTTAATAAAATGGGATTAAATACATAAATGATATTTGTCTTATTTAACCTATTTTATTATTACAGGTTTATATAATATTCTGAGTTTGCATTTGACTGTTTTTATTCATTTTGGGGAATACTGAATCTGTTTTTGTGCAGTGAGAAGAGTAAATAATGTTCATATTTACAGGGCTTAAAGTTCTCCGGCGTGCAGCGTTTGGCAGCGGGAAAAAATAATCCTACATTTTAAAAAAATGTTTTGATATCACTTTCGAGTCCATGAGTTCACCTACCAATGGTATGGGAGGAGCACAGCTTTCACTCTCAACCAAACTAACATTAGGCTACTAGCCAATCAGAATTTTTTGCTCTTATAAATACGAGACGTGCATAATAGTAGCTATCCAATTGCAGAGTCGCAGCCCTGATGAATGGAGAAGTGCGACACGTTGAAAAAGCTGCGAGGTGCAATGGTCAAAGATGTCCATCTAACGCATATTTATATTGGAAAACTAATTAAAAAGCAGCGGCGCTTTGTAAGCAGCTCAGAGTAATCATGTCATCTCCATAAGAAACTATATGATCGCCAGAACAAATTTACCGGGATTTTTGAAAAGGTCCTGTTCACACATGGTTTATTAATGGTAACTTACCGGTAATTTACCAGTACTGTATGTGTGAAAGGGGCTAAACGCTTCCTCTGTATATGCGTAACTCTGTATTCCTCTGTAACGTTCATCTGGAAAAACAGTGTGCATTATCTCACTAGATTTGTAACGTAAATCATTTATAAACCTTTGCCAACACAGGAGAATACATCAACCTGTTTCTAAATATGCCATTTATTGTACATGGCGATTTCAAAATAAAAGTTTCTGAGTTTGCATGTGGCCAAATATTAAAATGTTATGGATTTAAACATCGTTTAATCATGCTGTAAAGTGAAACGTCACCAGGCCTTTGGCACCCTCTGCAGGTATTTGTTATAATACATAATGTACTTAAGTTAGTTATGTTCATATTATGTGTATTGGAATATTACATTATGTATTTTAACAGTGTTGTTCAATAAAGCCATGTAATTACTTTTTGTTTATTTGAGCTAATTATTATTGCCTCATCTTTAGTTTATATATAAATAGTCATACTAAAGCCTGGTTTTCACTTAGGTCTATTTTTGTTACTAAAAAATATCAGATTACTCAATTGTCCAAATGTCCAAAATGTTACAGCCCTAGATTAGTTAAAATAGTTCTAAATACAACTGCATTGTTTTACTTTTTGTAATTAAAAGATTAAAAGACTCCTTGAAAATTTCTTAAAATAGTATTAAAATATTGTCTTATGGTCTGTATTTTGTCTCAACTCTCTGTATTTTCACACCCCTAGTGTCGATAAGCGGTGATATAGCTCATAATTTTCCAAGTGTATGATATAGCTTTCATTCTTCAGGTCAACCATATATTCATGAAAAAAAAATCAGTTTGAATAAGGAAAGCAATAACTTTACCATAGTATCCTTTCAAATGTTAAAGAAAGGACCCGCCACCGTGCCCCGCCCCTGGGAAAAAATATAAAAAAGCCAAATATCAGCCGATATATCGGCCTTGGCGATATATCGGTCGACCACTATTTGTAATGTAAATCATTTATAAACCTTTGCCAACACAGGAGAATACATCAACCTGTTTCTAAATATGCCATTTATTGTACATGGCGATTTCAAAATAAAAGTTTCTGAGTTTGCATGTGGCCAAATATTAAAATGTTATGGATTTAAACATCGTTTAATCATGCTGTAAAGTGAAACGTCACCAGGCCTTTGGCACCCTCTGCAGGTATTTGTTATAATACATAATGTACTTAAGTTAGTTATGTTCATATTATGTGTATTGGAATATTACATTATGTATTTTAACAGTGTTGTTCAATAAAGCCATGTAATTACTTTTTGTTTATTTGAGCTAATTATTATTGCCTCATCTTTAGTTTATATATAAATAGTCATACTAAAGCCTGGTTTTCACTTAGGTCTATTTTTGTTACTAAAAAATATCAGATTACTCAATTGTCCAAAATAATCATTAGTTACAGCCCTAGATTAGTTAAAATAGTTCTAAATACAACTGCATTGTTTTACTTTTTGTAATTAAAAGACATATTTTGTCCTTGAAAATTTCTTAAAATAGTATTAAAATATTGTCTTATGGTCTGTATTTTGTCTCAACTCTCTGTATTTTCACACCCCTAGTGTCGATAAGCGGTGATATAGCTCATAATTTTCCAAGTGTATGATATAGCTTTCATTCTTCAGGTCAACCATATATTCATGAAAAAAAATCAGTTTGAATAAGGAAAGCAATAACTTTACCATAGTATCCTTTCAAATGTTAAAGAAAGGACCCGCCACCCTGCCCCGCCCCTGGGAAAAAATATAATTTTTTGCTTTAACCCCTGTATTTAGTCTAGAACTACAGTAACATAACAGCACACACAATGCCTCTGCACTTACTCCCCATTTCTCTGAACATGGAAACACGAGAGCTGTCATCAAGACATGGGAAACAAAGATCCTAGCGTTACTTATTAACAGTAACTCAGATATGTCCTTCTAAATTAAAAAGCAATCCGTTACTTTACTAGTTACTTTTAAAAAAAGTAATCTGATTACGTAAATTGCGTTACTTGTAATTCGTTACCCCCAACACTGGACATAATTGACTTTCATCATGATGCTATTGTAATTTTGACTTTTATTTTCAAAATATTGCTACTTTAATCTTGTAATATTATGATTTTGTCATAATATAGTTATATATTATATATTTGTCATAGTCTCCAAACTCATCCTTTCTAATCATCCTACTACTTGTCCGCTTGATCCTATTCCATCTCATCTTCTTCAAGCCATTTCTTCTGCAGTTGTACCTGCACTCACTCACATCATTAACACATCCCTTCATACTGGTGTTTTTCCCTCAGCATTTAGACAGGCTCTACAGACTACAAACTACAGACCGGTTTCCCTTCTTCCTTTCATTGCAAAAACACTTGAACAAGCTGTGTTCAACCAAGTCTCTGCCTTTCTCACACAGAACAACCTCCTCAACAGCAACCAGTCTGGTTTCAGAAGTGGACATTCAACCAAGACTGCCTTGCTCTCAGTTGTTGAAGCCCTAAGACTGGCAAGAGCGGATTACAAATCTTCAATACTTATCTTGCTGGATCTGT